TTGTGGGTTTACAACAGCCTCTTTTGGAGCTTTAAAAGGGCTTTTGTTTGTGTTTGTTCATAAGTGCATGTGCTCTCAATGCTGTGCATTCAGGAAACCCCTCATAGATGTGTGTGTGAGACCAATAGCATGCTGATGACATCATTGGAGAGGCACAGCTTTTGTATGAGTTATGTAATATATATATATATATATATAATCGTATGACCTTGCATTTATTGCAACTCGAGGGCAGTAGATCAAGCTGTTAACACAACATTGACGTTATTATCACCCTATACAGTTGTTATGGCAAACTTGTTCCAAACCGTCGCCTACTTACATGTTCCACACACAAGACATTTATTGGGAGCCATGTTTCTGGCCTGCGTATGTTCTGCACGTGCCCCTAACCCTCCTATACTGAGGACATTTTCCCACCAGGTCATTAACTCGTGAAAGGAACAGTGTTATCAATTACACCGGAAGAGAAGGCATTTGTCAATGACAATCATTACATTACATTACATGTCACTTGTTAGACGCTTTTATCCAAGGCGACTTACATACATTCAGTACTGTGGACAATCCCCACAGGAGCAATTTGGGGTGAAGTGTCTCAGGGACACAACGACATGCTGACTGCAGTGGGACTCGAACTTGCTATCCCCGGATTCAATGTTCAGTGCACTATTCCACTGAGCCACAGCCTCCCCGCACAATCAATAGGATACAAATATAAAGATTTTGAAGTGCAGTTTTGAAACCTGAGTCATATATTGCCCTCATTTGTGATGTGTTTATTGAACAGGTTTACACGTTGACAATTAAAAAAAGCATTATATTGTGCAGCCTTGATAATATTCTAAAGAATTGAGCACTGTCCAGAACAAAAAGTGTTCTGAAATTGAATTTCACTTGGTAATCGTGCATAACGTGGTGCAACTTTACCCATCAATTTAAGATACCTTGGTGCATAGTGCAGACTCTTATCATTATAATTCTCTGGGGATATCAATAAAACCTTTGTAGGACCATTGCTGTAATATTGATATGATGAGGAAACTTAAAAAAGTAGGTTAACCTTTAATGTATTGGATTGGGATATGTGATTGTTAATCTTATGTTCCCTAGTTCCACTTTTACGAATGAATGATTAATGTGGCTTCTGTCTATAATCGAGTAGGTTGGGCCATTGTTTCTTCTAGTGAGAATGATTAATCCAATTTCCAAGTCTTAAAAACAGTTCTGTGATTATTATTGTAGCTAGTAGCTATAAATATCTAGAATGTTCCTTCACCTCAGGTTGTCCAATTCAAACAAGGATAAATTGAGCAAACACCATGCATTGTTCAGTGCTTCTGTGGGATACATCTTGGCTCATAATAAATCTTCTTCAAAACATTTGGTTAGGAGTCTGCATAACGTGATATAAATACAAATAATAGATCAATCAAACGTATTATTATTATTTATAAAGCTCAATATCATGAGGTACACATTTGTCAGAGGGCTTTACAGTGTGGACCGCAAACGACACCCGCTGTCCTCAGACCCTCGCAGTGGACAAGGACGACTCCCAAAGAAACCCCACAGTTAATGGGGAATAAGTGGAAGAAGCCTCGGGAGAGCAACAGAGGAGAGATCCATCTTCCAGGACAGACAGAAGTGCAATACATGTTGTGACAACAAAACAAAACAGAGATAATCCTAACCACAAAAATGATTATATGACTCACCCCAAATATGAATGAAAGATCCAGGAGAATGACAAAATATGACTAATAATAACGTGGGCGCCAGGCAGGGGCATTGATTTAAAAAGCAGGCAGTCGGACGTATTTAAAATGTTGGTTTGGTGGATTTGTATGGTTTAGCAGCTGTGTGTTCTCAATTAAATCTGCTCCCTGTTTCACCTCTCACAGCTGGAGCAGAGTGGAGCCGTTCGGTGAGCCCCCCACCTGCTAGTGTTACCCCCCCCTCTCCTTCACAAATACAGCGAAACTACAGGGATTTGGAGTTTTACATTTCCGTATGAAACAATGCAGAGTGCGATACACAATAAAGGCTCAGTAGTCAGCACACTATTGAATCCAAGTGATAATGGACAGACTTATTGACCACCGTGTGTTTCCAGGAGTGCTCCAAAAGCTCTCAGCCCTCTCGTGGTTACACAGCCTCCTCTGAGGTCTCACTGATGTTTTTGTTTTAAATCTGGCTGCTTAATGCTTCAGCACTTGATGCCTTGAAAGCTTAGTCTGGTTGTCCCATCCTGCTTCACCCACTGACTGCTGGGGCCTGGCCTGCTTTCATGCCAACACCCGCATGTTGTATAACTCAGAGTGAACTTCTGCATGTGTCAGTGTGTTTAGAGTACAGAGAGCAGCCCTTACAGAACCAGACAATATGTTTGTTGTCTTTGCACTCAGCCTTTTGGACGCATGGACAGACAGACACAGTAGTTGCAAGACTCGATACCCTCTCAGTGTGGACATTGTTGTTGTTGCTTTGACCGCTGAGTTAGAAAGGGGGCGTGGACCTCTGGCATGGATGCTGCAAATCCTGACGTCCTCTAGTGGTGGTTTGGGGAAAGTGCATCTCACCACTGTTGACTGGGCCTGGAAACGTTTGTGGTTCAGTCAAAGGAAGAAGGGCTATTTCATGACAACCGCTGAATTTAGGATGTGACCACACGGTCTGATAATTTAAGCTTTAGGCCCAAACGGGCACAATGGGACTAAATGTTTTTCTTCACTCCATGTTGAGAAGGAAGGCAGAGTTGAGGAAAAACAGGCACAAGGAACACATTGAGTGTGATGGGAGTGTATAGTGTTAGCGTGTAGTTTATTTTTTCAACTTCAAACTACAGCCAAACCCTCCAAGCTGAGTAGCTATATGCTCTCTGTGCAGCTATTTCAGATCATTGAAACAACTTTTAGCAACACTTTTTCAAAGACAGTAAAAGTCATTGTTTTGTTTTCCCAGTAAAACCTTTTCTCAGTAAAATGTACTAATTAAAAACAGTTTTTGTGGAGCAGTTCTTCACATTCTTTTAACAATTTCTCCTCATAAAACCTTTCCTTAAAGTTTAAACGTTTCATTATTAACCTCCATGTTTACTAGCGAGCAGTTTCATCCTGTCTTGCGCTTGCCAGAGCATTGCTGCATGTCTTGGCATGACCACCACCTGCAGATCAGTATAACAGTGTGAAACTATTGGCAGGAAGAACCTACACGTGAGAGCGAATGAGAACATGAGCACAAGACAAAACAAGATAGAGACCCACTCAACAAGAAAAGAACTCCGTAGTACTTCTAGAGGCCAAAAGCTCCGAGGGGAACCTTTGAGAGAGAATGAATATCCCTTACATGTGTCTGCTCTGTGTCCTCCCTCTTTCTCCAGTTCTACCTCCAGACAGGAAATTGTCCCTGCACAGTCCTCGACAAAAAGTGGGACTCATAAGATCTGCCTGGTGTGCTCTGACGAGGCCTCAGGCTGCCACTACGGTGTCCTCACCTGTGGCAGCTGCAAGGTGTTCTTCAAGAGAGCAGTGGAAGGTAAAGGTGAATTTTCCAAAATGTCCCCTCTACAGGACTAACAAAGGTATTGTGATTCTGACAAACACATCATCATATCCTCACTGATTTATTCATCGCCGCTGATAAACTCATTCATCACTTACCTGTTTCACATTAGCTTGTTCAAATGCTGGGAGTGATTATGATCATCCCAAAGTGAAGGACTGTGATAAAGCTCATTAGTTCCCCCCCCTGGAGTGTTTGCCACAGCAGTGAAGGTAAATAACAGATTAATCTTCCTCCCCTGCGCTCCTCAGGGCAGCATAATTACCTGTGTGCTGGGAGGAACGACTGCATCATCGACAAGATCAGGAGGAAGAACTGCCCCGCCTGCCGCTTCCGCAAGTGTCTGATGGCTGGCATGAACCTGGAAGGTACACCGATAAACTTTCCTGTTGTCATCTTGAATATACTCATTTATATAAATGGTTATCGGGCAATAAACCGTATTTACTTTTGTCTTAATTTACATTATTTAATTTCATATTCTGTTCTTGTACATATCCCATATTCTATTAGTATATAGACTTTTTGCACTAGTTTTATTTTATGATATATGTTGCATTGTTGGAGGAGCTCGGGTCAGAAGAACTTCATTGCCATTTCTCCACTGTAGCTTTGTGCATATGACAATTCAACCTTTGAGCCACACTGTGTACCGCCTGCCTTCACCTTTTTTCTTTATTCAACTTCTCTTCTTCTCTTCATTGCATATTCGTCCCCGTTTTTCCCCTGTAGCGCGAAAAACCAAGAAGCTGAACCGCTTAAAGGGCGCCCAGCCGAGCAACCCCCCCGAGCTCAATCCCTCTCCTCCAATCGAGACTCGGTCCCTCTTACCCGTGAAGTCCATGCCTCAACTTGTCCCCACCATGCTGTCCCTGCTGAAGGCCATCGAGCCGGACACCATCTTCGCCGGCTACGACAGCACCCTGCCCGACACCTCCACCCGCCTCATGACCACCCTCAACAGGCTGGGGGGCCGGCAGGTCATCTCTGCCGTCAAGTGGGCCAAGGCTCTGCCAGGTGAGTGGTGCCAGTACGAGTGTAGACTAGACTGTAGAGAGGTACAGTATATTTAGATTAAACAATTCATATTGATGATTTGCAAAGGCTGTGACACGTTGAGGTTAATCTACAGTTGCAATAAGTTTCAAAAGAAAACAGATTTGCCACGTTGCACTTAGTCCTCTCTCCCTGTAATGCCATAGATACACATGTAAACTCTTGTCTTTAAGTTTTGCACTTGATATCTCAAAAACGGATAAAAAGTCAAGAATGCACAGAGACAAGTTTATGGGGTGTGCTGTCCCCATTCTTTGCCCATCCTTTCTTTACGTTGCACAACACGTTGGAAGCATGTTGGCTTAAAACTGGAGATGTTGAAATGTATGGGTGGAGTTCCAAACAGGTGTCATCTCATCTGCCTCGATTGAGTAAGCAAACACTTGCTCTACATCTGGATCTGCTTCATCTGGAACTCATTTGACACGTAGGCACATTTGGTAAACAGATTGGAGTCAGATTAAGGCTCTAATACATCATTTCTTGTTTAAATGGGTTAATTGTATTCTAGATCTTGCTTTTGCACAAGATATGTGACCATTTGTACAAAGTATCATCTGCTAAAAGATTTGTAGATCACATCCAAATCTTTTACTCTGCCACTTTCACCGCCACACCCTCTCAGACAAAAAGACTGTTTTGTTGATGTCCCTTCAGGCTTCAGGAACCTGCACCTGGACGACCAGATGACTCTTCTTCAGTGCTCCTGGCTCTTCCTCATGTCTTTCGGCCTGGGCTGGAGATCCTACCAGCAGTGCAACGGCAACATGCTGTGCTTCGCCCCAGACCTCGTCATCAACGAGTACGTATCAATAAACCTTATTTTGATACAAAAATAGTACCGCCTTTTAAATCCTCCAGATCAAATATGGCAGTATTTTACGATTATTAAGAGTTTCATTTAGGAAATGCATATCCCTGGCCCTTTTTTTTTACCCTCATTTAAATCTCACTGATATTTTCCAGCCTAGCATTTTCAGTTTTCCCTCATTCAGCAAACGCATACATGTGTTTGTTTAAAGAGCCTGTGACACGAACCCAACAACTGTTGTGCAATGAAATATTGGGCTACTAGTCATCTCGAACCGTCAGTTTAAAAAAGAAAAAGCGATACCGTTCCGATAAATATCAATAATTTCGAACATCGCGGGAAAATTCCTTCGACTCATTTTGAGGTTTTGGGGGAAGCCGGAAGTGACGTCAATGCGGGAACGCTTCACTGTGCGGCGAGAGAACCAAACACGGACAAAGTGTGTTGTCATGCGTAGAAATGGTGAATTACTGAGTTTAGGCACGTTAATAACGTTTTAATGAAGTTGACTACAGTATATTCATATTTGTCAGTGCTTTCATGTCAATTCGGCGAACATAAACATAAATGATCGTGGTGAAGATGATGATTAAATTAGGATTACAAATCGGTAGTGAGAGCTGCTGAATTTCCTCCCGTCGGATGTGATATAAAAACAAATCGATTATTTTTGTAAACTCAAGTGGATGAAACTACATTTATTAGTGCTTTCATGTCAATTCGGCGAACATATGATACATTAAATGATCGTGAGGATGATGATTTAAAAATCTTTTGTTTGAGCCGGTCTGCATTTCCTGATGAGAAAACAATGTTGGTTTGTGTGTGAACTTTGACTATTGTGACCGTTTACTTAAAAATCTACATAGATCTATAATTTTTTTTCGTTTTAGTAGCGGAAGGTTTATTTCACCCCCATGGCCGGCATGGGGGCGCAGGTGCGGGTGATGTGGGTTGACTGAAACGTTGATGTTTTTTTCGAT